ACTCGAAACCGACTCTCCCCAAGCCAAGCAACACTCACGTCAACCTCGATGACCCCAGACACGCAAGCCCTACCGCCACCTACCTTTCCCCGACCTCCACCTGACGGAGTAATTGGTGCATTTCGTGTTCAAGATGTCGAACTGACTCAGCCCCATCCCTTCCTCGAACTCCACCTTCTTGGGCGCCCACTCGTACCGTACTTCTTTGTCTGTGTAGCCGACTGTGGGCGGACAGGCAGCGGGCGGGGTGAGAGGAAGTCTGTTTTACTATAATGATAATGACAATAATGGTGATAATAATGATGAACAATAAATGTGATATGATAATAATGGACAATAATGATAATGTAATGATTGACAATAATGATAGGCTAATGATAATGGAACAATAATGATAATGCTAATGATAATAATGATAACAATAATGGATAATGATAATGGCAATAATGATATATATGATAATGACAATAAATGATAATGGTGATAATGATAATAATGATAATGATAATGACAATAAAGGGTAAAACTAATAAAAATTTCAAAGTCGAAAAAAAAGTTTTATTACATATTTTCTTGTGATTGTGTATTATCATTTTTGTGATTAGCTTTTAATTTTTTTTTTTTTTGCATATATATTGATTTTATTATTATATTAATTTTTTTGTGATAATTTACTTGATTTTTGGTAATACTGATGTATCTGTTTTATTTATATTTTTTTTTGTGATTTTATGTATTAACATGGCGTTATTTTTGTGATTTATATATTTTTTGTGGATTCATATATATAATTTACGTTTTTGTGATTTATCTGTTCATTTACATTTTTTGTGATTTATCTATTAATTTACGTTTTTGTTTTAATCTACACTTTTACGATTCATCTACTCATTTACATATTTATATGTTGATTTATATATTGATTTATATTTGGTGATTTATCTATTCGTCTTTTTTGTGATTTATCTGATAATTTATGTTTTTTGTTATTTATCTATTCATTTATCTTTTCATATACATTTTTGCGATTTACCTTCAATAACATTTTTTGTGATTTATCTATCCATTTATTTTTTTGTGATCTACCTTTTCATTTACGTTTTTGTAATTTATCTTCAATTCCATATTCTTATTTATTTATTAATTTACATCTTCAATTCCTTTTTTGTAATTTATTTATTAATTTACATCATAGTGATTTACGGTGACAACCAATAGCTATTAACATGACCTTGAATTATTGTTACCAATTAGGATAACACTAATAGTAATTAGTTAGCAGTAATTAACCACATTTAATCGTGCAATAACTATATTCACAGCTACTGATGACAATAATTAATTAACAGTAATAAACCACATTCAACATAATCATTAAAAAAACTATACTCACAGATAATGGCAATAATTAGTTAACAGTAATTAAGCACATTTAACACAATCGGGCAAGAACTATACTCACAGTTACTGATGCCATTAATTAGTAAACAGTAATTAACCACAATCAACATTGACGTGCAATGATAACACTTACAGTTACTGATGACAATGATTAGTTAATAGTACTTAATCACATTCAATCGTGGATCACAGTTACTGATGACAATAATCAGTTAACGTGAATTAACCACATACAGTCGTGGAATTTCTATACTCAGTTTACTTATGACAATAATCGTTTTAACAGTAATTAATAATCAACATGATCGTGCAAGAACTATACTCACAGGTACTGATGACAAAAATCAGTAGTAATTAACATTCAACACAATCGTGCAAGAACTATACTTACAGCTACTGATGACAAGAGGGCACGACTGCTTGTCCATCGGGAAATTCCTCAGGACCATTGGACACTTGGCCTTGATAGTGAGCCTGTGGAGTGAGGAAAACTGGAATTTAGATAATTAGATTTTTTTATTTTTATTATTTATTTTTTTATTATTATTATTTTTTTAGATACGTGCCTTAAAGATGACTGATAAGGTGTTCAAATTAAAACATAGAAGTTGATGTACTTAAATTTAGGTCTTAGCTTTCGGAAACCAAAAAACAAAAACAACCAAAAAACTTGGTTACGTTGTATTCATGATTAGAAAAAAATGAGCCCTTAGAATAATCTATCACAAAACAGTATTTAGATTCCATTAAGTAATGGCCGACGCATAGCTGCCATAGTCATTCGAGCCTATCACACTCCTCTTCTTTCTCTCTCTCTCTCTCTCGCTTTCTGTCTGCCTTTCTTTCTCTCTTCCTCCTCCCCCCTCACTCCCTTTCTCTATCTCTCTCTTCCTCTTTCCCCACCCCCCCTCTCTCTTTTTATCTATCTCCTATCTCTCTCTCTTCCTCCCCCCCCTCTCTTTCTCTCATTTTCTCTCTCTCTCTCTTTCTCTATATCTCCCATCTCTCTCTATCTATCCATTTCCCATCTCTCTTCCTCTCTCTCTCTCTCTCCCAACACCACTTACATTAATTCATGTCTTGTAAACTGATATTTTTC